CGTGGAGAGTAAGACGCTTCAGCCTTGCTGGGCGAAATACTCATGACCAAATCTCTGCCCTTTTCCCGTTCATTTCTCCCTTTAGTTCAAGAAGAGGCTTGTTGTGTTCACTGATTGTTGCAAAAGCCGACATGCACACAAGCATTGCCGGAAAGCCACGCGCCAGTTGAAGAATTGCGCAAGCTTGCGCCTCAACATTGGCCAAGCCCAAAAAGTGGATAGTGCTTGATGATGCTTGATGTATCAAGACTCCAAGGCATGCCGAAAATTTGCTTGAGGAGTGGCTGGTGGACCTGCTTGATCATTTGGGGCGTGCAAAACACAGAGAAAATGCCCTACATCACCCCGTGCCTGACTGCCCTGACTTTTCCCATGGCAGAAGGTCCTGCTGGCAAACAAACGAGTGGCTGGCAAACTGACTAGTGTAGGATCACGTCTTTGCTTGCATCATTAATATATCAATATATGTATGTGCGTATATACATATAATTATATATAATATGTATATATTTAAGCTGCTGAAGAAACAAGACAATTTCCTCACATGTCGCAAAATTGAAAGGCATCCCGGCCGGACCTCTCTTTGAGCCCTTGAGAAATGGTGGGCGCAGTCGGAACACCGTGAAATTCCACAAAACATATGGGATTCAAAGGTGAGTTTGGCACCGGGTAAGCGCAAGAATGCAGCGAGACACGGGCAACATCATTGCATAACCCGCATGGAATTCTGATTGCGGGCACGGCTGCCCCTAGCGTAATGGACAGATGGGCAGACAGCCAGGCAGACAGATAGGCAGACAGATAGATCAGATAGACAAACAAATGCTTAGATAGATAGGTGATTGTATATATGTATAATATATATAATATATATCAAACATCACATCCGGCAATATTGATGCATCCATATGCATCCGCATTGGAGACTCCATGGCTACCAAGGATACCATCATCATACTGACAGCGCCTTCATGCGCCTTCCCCCGATTCGCACAGCTGTGCCTTCTCCTAGATGTCACGGCGCACCCCGGAGCGCCGAACTGATCTGAGCCAAAGGCAGCTCTGCGAGAACCCAAAAGGGCGATGCAAAGTGAGGCAACCCTGCGGCTTTATTTTCAATATGTTAACTGTAAATGAATACATATAGATAATTATATTATATATATGCGCGATTTGATATGTACATATGTGTATTAAATGTATTGTATTGTATATATATATGTATATATTATATACAATTATATACATATACGTATATGTGTGTGTGTATGTGCACATCGTTTCTGATTGCCTGTTTAGTGATCTATTGGAACAATTTAAACATCCGCTTCTGAATCTGTGACGATAGAGAAGCCCGCAAACACGGGCGATTCCAGACGTACTTTGTCATGCCCTGCTGCACATGCAGCACAATTTATATGCAAACATATGCCAATAGGTGGGCTGTATATGCGATATGTTCACAGCAAATGAGATACGGCACTAAAGCCGGTGCCCCGGTGCCCCTGCTCGTGAGGACCTGACATGACCTGAAGCATCCTGACACATCCTGACACATCCTGATGCTGTGATACAATCCACTACAAATCACTACAATCCCTGGTCAGCTGACACCAATGTGCACTTGGCGGACCCACCACGCGGACCCTTGCAGCTAGAGTTTTTCCGCACTCAGAAAGGTGGCATCGTCCATTGGGAAGTGTCACAAGATGTCACAAGGCATCCTCCAAGCGCGCAGGGCGGGGCAAATGCAAAGCATATCTTCTGCTCCGCACGCGGACCAAGCCTGGCATTTGACATCAAATCTGAATGATTTGAATGCCATCCCATCCTTTGCAACAGAAATCCGTTCGCATGATTTCCGTTGGCTGAGACATCTTGGCATCAACTGCAGCAGTAGACCCAGTTCTGCTTGATAGGCAAGGCCGCCGCAGCCGCCACACGCACTCAGCAACTGCAAAGAGTCTGCGGTGCCGAATACAGTAGTCGAATTCGACAAGGGCGTCCACTTTCCTATCAAGACTCAAGAAATAGTTTTGCGCCTGGGCCTGGATACCAGAAAATCATAGAAAATCTAGAAAATAACTGCACAGGTCAATTGGCCTAGCCTGGCTAGTGAGATGTTTTGGAGTTTGCAATTGTGTCCACCCTTGGCATTGTTCAGCCAAGCCCGCTGACCTTCAGCCTGAATCCAAATTGCTGACAGGTCTATCTAATTATATATATGAGAGAGATATTGATATATCCTATTGCCTACTACTCTTCATAGTAATCAAGAATAAAATGAAATGAAAACAGCACACATACATGGACACAAATGTCAGTTAATCCACAAGTGAATGCACGTAACAAGAGACAATAAGTGTGCACAAGGAATTTGACAGTGGCAAAAATCTCAGGTTGGATAAGAATTGACTGCAATTGACCATTTCAAAGGCTGCATGTTCTCAATTTGCTCATCGAAGGTCAGCTTTTCAAATCGCAGGATACGGCTGCGTCTCATTGAAGCGGTGCCTGGCGGGGGAACCCAGTGAGGACTTGCACTTAAACATGTGCAAAAACAGGAAGTGGTTTTCGATGGTTTTCGGCAGTGGCTAGTTAATAAATGTTTTCGAAAGTGGCCAGCCTTTTCCGGGACTTGCGAACTATTTAAGGCTTCTGGCTGTGGACGAGACATGAAGAGAGTGAATGTTCTATAGGAATGTGAAAACCTGTCCCCGAGTCCTCCTCCAGGCTGCTCAATCTGATCCTTGCTTCTTCTTGGTCAGGTTCACCTCACTGGATATTTGAGCTGCGCAAATAACAAGTGACAAACTCAGCACAAAATCCCCTACCGGCACCTTTACCATATTGGAAGCTACTAGTGCAAGTAGTTCTTACAAATGGTGCTGCGGCGCTGCGATAGGTGCGACAAACTGACCAAACCTGACTGTATCTCATTGCCACCCAGGGCACCGTCTCGCGCTTCAGCACATGGAGCAAGGTCTGGGAAGACTCCAAGATCTTCATGTAGGCAGCCTCAAGGACATTCCAATCGCTTTCTGTGCAGAGATCTTAGCACAAACTAATCCATTCATCCGGCTAGAACTTACTTTGTGTGACTCTTGGTCAAGCATTTGCGTCGTCTGTGGTGAAAATTATGTCCTGGGATGTGTGTGTGTGTGCATATGTATGTATGTGATCTTACATGACCTACAAAACCTACAAGGAATTCGGCTCCGTTTTGCTGAGCCTTTTTACTGTGCCCCAAGCGCCCAAATGTCCCTGCAGCCTCGGTCTCCTGGATGGTCTTGTCATACTCGTTGCGGGCCTGGGTCTTGCGCACCAGACTCTCGTTCACCTTCGCAGGTTGTTGCAGACCACACAAAAATTGCACTTCGTGGCCCCTGGATCCGTAAAACGCCACGGTCAAATTCACAGATCACTAGTACAACTGACCTTTGGAGTACTGTTGTGGGTAAACAAACAGCTTTTATGCGCCGCACCTTTTGCAAACGGTCTGTCAAGATGGAGAGTTCCTTCTGAATCTTTGCCTTGTCCTCTTCTTCCTGCCGAACTGCCACATTGATGAATTCTCACGCCCCTCTTGACTGGCAGTGACTCTGTCTCCGAGTGATTCCAGTTGATCCTCGAGTGCACTTCAACACACTTCAGTGCCAATGCAAATGGTCCTTCAGGATTTGGCGATTCAGCTCCTCTCGCTTCTCACGCAGGTCTTCAATTGACTTCACCAGCTCGTTGTTGTAGTTCCTACAAGTGCGGCGCAGCGGCGCAACTGCAGAGGGCCTACTGAGCCTATTGGTCGATGGCAAGAGATGGTAAGATTGTGAGATCACCAGAGGCTCCATCGTCGCATCAGTGCTATCACGGGCATTGACTTACTATCTGCATGGGGAACCGTGGATTAATGTATATAATATTATATAATATGATTGCCTAATTTAAGATATTTAAGATATCTAAGTTAATTTAATCTATGTACATAACACAGAGAAAAAGAGAGAGAGAAAGAGAGGGAGTGCAATGTATCATAATGTATCATAGTATCATATAGTATCTATGTCAATATGAATGGCAATCCGGTGCAAGATCAGGACGAACCAGCACATCGTGCAGTGAGAATCCATATCTACGATGCTCTGCCAAGGTGCTGCAAGGTGGCTCCCTGGGATGCCATGGCAAAGGCCTGCACCCAGGGATCGAGTACTCTTTGCACAGACCAAAGATGACCAAAGATGACCAAAGGTAGCTGACGGTCATACTGACGGTCATACTGATAGTCATACTTCTCATACTTGGCCTAAACTTGGCATATCTTCATATCTTGGTACATTTGATGCAAATCACTGCATCGATTGCACATCCACAGGCACAATATGGCAAAATCCTGCCTCGGTGAAGTCGCAGTGAATCCACGAGCGAACGAGCTTGTCTCAGCCAGAATGGCGCAGGCTGCCGGGCGCTGAATCCACGGTGCCAAAACTCCACCAACAGTACCGATCGGACACTACGACTGCTGGTTGGACGCACCTGGGCTGGCCAGAAACCATGTGACGAAGTGAAAATGCATATGCAGGAGATTGATATCTTAAAAATATCCTACTCAGACACTCTAGAATCAATGGCAAATTTGGATAAATTTGGCCCTATAATGTCACGCGATTCACATGCGACAGATCGCGACAGTTTTCACAAACCCTGCTGATATCTGCTGATCAACGGCTTCCTTTCTGCTACCATCTTCAAGCATCTTCCGGTCTTTTTTCCGAAGCTCTGGGACGCGCTAGTTTTTTTTTGCACTTTGGCCACGAAGTCCGGTGATGAGCAAACCACTGTGTGGCTCCTACATCCAGGGGCTGGAGGGCATTCTGGAACAATGAGAAATGGTCGTGAAGGAAAATGTTGGGAGAACAATCTTCCCAATGCATATTGAATAATTTTGCAACATTCTGCTTTCGGAGAGATGCTTGATTTACTCTTTGCATTCTTTGCTGATATCCTATGGAAGATTCGTGGCAATATTGCTCAAGCTCACATTGGGACACTGAGAGATGCGAACTCCTCGTGCTACAAACGCTCCTGCCTCCTGGGATCGGCATCACTGGACGACGTTGACAGTCTTCATGAGGATGATTCCTCAGCAAGCACTTGATATATCTGTCGTTTACCAACTGGATGTGCAATTCTTCGCCATGCTAAAAAAATCAAAGCAAGCAGACAAGTGGCCATGGAGAGTTGAATTCCCTCCAAATTTGGGCTTCAGCATGTATCTGGCAGGAGACAGGAAGCTTTGGAGAGACACTCTGAGACAAGAGGAAGATGGGATCAACAAAAAGAAATTCCACCAGGTTTTAAGTCCACTTCCTCATTGTGAACAGTTACAGCAAATGTCCAATGCATTCAGATCGCTGATTCCATACCATTTTCATACCATTTCATAGCATTCCTATCATCACCCAGGCCCCACCTTCCAATGCCCTTTTCGTAGTCCCACAGCGCTTCGAGGTTGCCAGGTTTCCGTCCTGGGATGCCGTTGGCATCTTCCAAGGGCCATCCCAGGTCCCAGGGTCCCAGGGTCCCAGTCCGTCCCAGGCCGTCCCAGGCCTGCAGCGGTCCAGTACGCTTTCATGCCTTCCACGATCAACATGTGGGTTCCCCACGAGTGTGGCTTGATGACCTGCAGCAAATGCCATGCAAATGCCATGCAAATGCCATGCAAATGCCATGCAGAGTTGCAGAGGATTGGTTGGTTCAGCCGTGACAACTCATCGCTTTGCCCTGTGAGCATGAAAACGTCTCAGAAGACTAACAGAGCCCAAAAAAGCTCATGCCATACATGGTCCTTCAGAATGCAAGACCATACGATGCAGCATAGCGCCACATGATATCGTGAATATGATTGAATGTGATTAATTATCCTCTCATATCCTTTCTGCAACTGAATTGCTCCAAAGGTCAATTTGTTCGTCCGACTTTGTGCTGCCTTCTCAATGACTTCATCGAAGGCTTCAGCGATTTCCCAGCCATTGGGAATGGATTTCCAGGCCGTCACCGACGGGTCAGTCCTGCTCTGGTGGTTGTACCTCTCCTCGGGTCATGGTGTTACACCACACCATCATGAAACCCCGATGAAAATCTCATGCATGTTTAGAGGATGTGAAATAGGTCCAAAGATGTGAAAAATACATAAAGATTTATATGAAGTCTAAACAGCTCGGCCAAATGCATGGACTGGCGCAAATGGAATTGTGCGGCAAGTGTAGAAACGTCCAGGAACCCAACGTCATCAACAAACCAGAACAACTTTCCATGGTCCCGTTTGCTGAAATGTGCTGAATGCATGCTCGATGTTGTCACATGCAGCCAAGTTTCAGGCGGTTCGAAGGACCACGGAGCAGGTGCAAATGGGCTTGACCAGTCCAGCGTTGCGTAGAGGTATCCGTTCTTGGCGAAGTTTTTGAATTAGACATTCAAAGAGGACTCCAGGTTGTCTTTATTATGGATATCTAAATGCCTGTGTCTAAAATAAAAACATTGCAGGTATTGGCAGGTATTGGCAGGTTGATATTGGATGATATTGGTTGCAAGTGGCAATGAGTTATGTTGCAACATGGTGCACTGCTAATCACTGCTAATCTGCCAAGTTGCAACATGAACAGAGTTCCTCCGCTGCTCCGGCGTCACAGAGAATGGTTTTCTCCATGGGTTCGTATCCACGGGTGGATCCCGGGGAGGGCTGCGGTACCTCAGTTTTGCCGAGCACATCCAAGGACTGGTGCAGACTTGGACGCACAGGTAGCTTCATTGGAAGGTGCCTGTGCCCTGCTGTCAGGTACATTGCACGTCATGGCAGGATTTTGAACTGGTTTTAGGGCCGCACGGTTGACGATTGGGGCGACCTCGCCCCTTGCTTCTGCTGCGGCTGTCCTGTCACGAACGCACAGGCGTTGTTCTTGTCTTCAAAGATGAAGTGTGAAGCTGGCAAAAAAGGAGACGAAAGAAGACAAGGAGACAAGGAGACTGCAAGATCTGCAAGATCTGCAAGATCTGCAAGATCTGCAAGCAAAAGACTACGATCGACGTTATCTTCATCCTTCCTGGAGACTGGCCTGCAAAATATCTAACCCTGCAAAAGTGAAATGGAAGGAACACGCCGCACAAGTTTCGCACCCGCACAGGTCGCGTTCGGCTGCGGCTGTCCATCCTGCTGCATTGGGCAAAGTCAGGACTGAGAATACCAACTTTAACTTTAAGTCTTTAAGTCGTGTTATAATTAAGTTAGAATCTCGTAGAACGTCTTTGGACTTTGGACCTGCCCCTGGAAGGTCAGATCGTGGCCATCAGTCCTTGGTCGGCTTGTGCTGCCTCGTCGATTGTTCCTGGAGTGAGTAGAGTTCCAAGGCTGCCAAAATCGGCCAAAATGGTCCAGACGATGCAAAGCCATGACTGCATCAATGGACTCCTAAGGCCTTAACTTAGCTACTCTCAAGCTGTAGAATGCACATAAAGCTGCGATATGGGCAGTTTTCAACGTATGAACATTTTTGTCTATATTATTTATATATATATATGTGTGTGTGTGTGTGAAACGTCTGTATAGACGTAAAACTTCCATGGCATTGTTGAATCTGGTATTTTGGTATTATTTCAGTTTTCAAACAAGCAGGGGGATGGAGTGTGCCTCAGATGTCTCCATCCAACGAAGACGCATCTGTTGCACAGTGATATGGATTGGGGACGCTCAATCCACGTACCTGCTCAATATTTTTTCATTTTCGTCCATGGCCACCGGCTAAGCCAAGAACCGGCATGTCGTTTTATTCAACCTCAACTTATTCAACTTCAACCTTTTTACATAGTTTTACACGGTCGCCGCAATCTGATTGAGATCTGAACAATCCTTTGGGTTTATAATACACTATCGCCGACACATCGTCGCCGATGCATACTGGTTGGACAATCTTCGCCGACGACATCGCCGATGACATTACTTTTGGTTGATTAACGTCCCGATCCTTATTCTATTCTTTTTGAAGTCGATTCAGGGCATGGAGAACATTCAGGAGAACTTCCATTATTCGTAGGATGCATCGTTAATTTCATTGTTTCGTATCTAATCTGCATGTTTCAGGATTCAGTTCCTGCCGGATCATATAATGATCCATTCTTGTCTAGTGTGATTTCCATGGTGGCTCCGGCATGGTGCCATGGAGCCATTTGAGGCAACCCTCTTCGGGGTGAGTGATGACAGTCCCGAATTCTGAATTCACACATTTTAACTTGGTAATTCGTTTAAGTAAAGTGAAACAATCGGCCTTACTGTTCTTCACCGTTTATGATGTCCCGCTGTTCCGGCTGTCCTTTGAAATCCTCTGGGCAAGCTCTTCTACTGTGTGATGCCGTTCGGAACACTCAGAAACTTCATTTCTTACCACTGCAGCTTGCGCTCTTGAAGATCAACATGACATGTGAGACAACAGGCAACAGGCATGTCCTTTTCCTGCAGGTGTGGTCTCTTTGGTTTCTGGTGAGGTGAAACATGTTGTGCACCTAATTCGCTGGAACTTGAAAGCCGTTTTATGCCAATTGGGGCAAGACCTGACCACGTGCCTGGAGTGGCTTAACGCACGACTTCTAGGTTTAGGAACTGAGTCCTGTCCGTGATAATTGCTTTTTATTTGACCAACTCTCACTCTATTTGAGCTATGTTCCCGTGGACTTCTCCTCCGACGTCATGGCCTACTCCACCACAGCCTACGACTACATCTTCAACGTGGCCTCCACAACCACCATCTATCGCCTCTACTCCCAGACCACCTATGACATGGCCAACGACATCGCCATCTTCCCATCCAGCTCCTCACCCAGGATATCCTATTGACCCACATCAGTATTCAATCAGCCCAACTCATATGCCCGGGACCGCAACGACTCCGGTGGAACATTTGTTTGGACAACCTTCCACACTACATCCTTCGTGGGCTTCTACGACCTCATTACCATCGACTACCCATTCTACACCACCACCGGTTTGCAAAGCTTGACGTTTGGTGCTGTCTTTAACCAGAACCTGCAGGGCGTGAGAGTTCCATCCGGTTTGCTTGACGTTTGGTGCTGCCTTTAACTAGAACCTGGAGGACGTGACCTTTCCATCCGGTTTGCAAAGCTTGACGTTTGGTGCTGCCTTCAACCAGAACCTGGAGGGCGTGACCTTTCCATCCGGTTTGCACTTGACGTTTGGTGCTGACTTCAACCAGAACCTGGAGGACATGCCTTTCCATACGATTTGCAAAGCTTGACGGTTGGTGCTGCGTTTGACCAGACCCTGGAGGGCGTGACCTTTCCATCCAGTTTGCAAAACTTGACGTTTGGTGCTGCCTTTAACCAGAACCTGGAGGACGTGACCTTTCCATCCGGTTTGCAAAGCTTGACGTTTGGTGCTGACTTTAACCAGAACCTTGAGGACGTGACCTTCCCAAAAAGTTTGACGTCTGGTGCTGCGTTTGACCAGAACCTGGAGGGCGTGACCTTGTCATCCAGTTTGCAAAGCTTGACGATGCTTGACGTTTGCTTTTGCCTTCGACCAGAACCTGAAGGGCGTGACCTTCCCATCCGGTTTGCAAAACTTGACGTTTGGTGCTGCGTTTGACCAGAACCTGGAGGACGTGACCTTTACCATCCGGTTTGCAAAGCTTGAGGTTTGGTGCTGCCTTTAACCAGAACCTGGAGGGCGTGACCTTTCCATCCTGCTTGCAAAGCTTGACGTTTTGTGCTGCGTTTGACCGGAACCTGGAGGGCGTGACCTTTTCATCCAGTTTGCAAAGCTTGACGTTTGGTATTGGCTTTGACCAGACCCGGGAGGACGTGACTTTTCCATCCGATTTGCAAAGCTTGACGTTTGGTGCTGCCTTTAACCAGAACCTGGAGGGCGTGACCTTTCCATCCGGTTTGCAATGTTTGACGTTTGGTGCTGCCTTCAACCAGAACCTGGAAGACTTGACCTTTCCATCCGGTTTGAAAAGCTTGACGTTTGGTGCTGCCTTCAACCAGAACCTGGAGGGCGTAACCTTGCCATCCGGTTTGCAAAGTTTGACCTTTGGTGCTGACTTTAACCAGAACCTGGAGAGCGTGACCTTTCCATACAATTTGCAAAGCTTGACGTTTGATTCCGGTATGTCAATCTTTCATCCTTGGTGCTCTGATGGATTTTACAAACAGTGGCCATGGCTGGGGCTAAGCCTAGTACCCCACATACATACATACATTTGCTGCTCAGTCGTTACTGTGTCTCAGTTTCACGTTTCACCTCAATGTCGATTTATCACTACCAGCAGGAAATGACAATGTTTCACTTGCATTTTTCCGGCGACATCCCAGCTTGTTCACCCTCAATTCGCTCCCGTTTACACTTTTGGAACTTGTCCGACATCGCGCGATGGCTTCTTCGTCTCCTACCACATCAATTCCGCTTCAAGAACCTGTTTTTCTTCAGTTACTTCACGATGTACATCATGCATATCTTCTACTACACCGGGCAATGGCCTTACTACCACCAACACTTATTCCCAACATTGAACCGACACCTTTACCCAAGACCGAAGTATGGAACCAACCCGAAGGCCTCCGACCGGACTATTCGGATTCTAC